TTTGTAACAGTGAGAACTTTGATTAAACTTACCTGATACAAGATTAATAAAAAAAAAAATATTTTACTACTGTTTAAATTTAAAAAAAATAAAACTTAAATTTCAGGTTGGGGGGGGGGTGATCAATTTTCATCGCTGGCCACACAGCCTATACAGTTATTGTATTTAATCTTTCTTTTGACTTTATAAAGTGATCATCCTGGGTAAGACAATAACCTACATCCAACAGCAAGGCCTCTAATCAGGAGGTTTTGAGGAAGTGTGGAACCACCTCTTAATTGCTGGTGTTCCCAGGTCCACACTGATCTGGGGTGGTAGCACCTGTTAGGGTCCCAGCTATGGGTAAATAGTGAATTCCCAGATTTTCCCAAGGTATGGTGATAAACTACGTCCAAAAATGTTGCCAGCTAAACGTTTAATAGTTACTTATATATATATATATATATATATATATATATATATAAACTTAATTTGGCATTAAATGACCTACAGTGGTTGATATGCCATAAAACCCAACTAACCATTTATAAAGTGAATATTTTTATATTATAATTCTGGTTCATTTTTTTTTTTTTTTTTGATTTATTGGAAAACCCTTTATCAAATGACACATTTGTTTTCTATAAGGGTATGGAATTTTTTGGACAATGTTAAATCTTGCACTGATTGCCGGAATCAAATTCCAATGCTCCAATTTTTAACCTAAACTCTTTAAACTTGTTTTTCTCAAAAAATGGTAATGTTCCAAAATTGACCTAGGGGAAATGCCAAGAGGCCTTGAGCAATTTTTCTACAGTATTGTTAAACCCTCTTTAAACCTCAACCTTGTCTCACATTTGATAGAAATGTGGGAGCACTGAAAAATATGTTTAGCTCTAGTGTTCATCTGTCACTGATGGGGTATGTTTATTGGGAAAAGTCGGGGGGGGGGATAAAACATTAGTGCTAAGGTAACATGTAGATAATGAGACCTAAAATCCAGGTAAATTTTTTTGTGATTTTTATCTGATAGGAATTGGAGAGCAGGATTCGAATTCCAGTCGAATCCATTACATTTGCTTACATGCTAATACCCTTGGGAAAGGTATGAATCCTCTTCTAAAACCACAGCTATGGTTAAATAGCAGGATAGACCAGGTTCTATAGCCTTGGATGGCAACTGGTCTACCGCAGAAAGAAATGGCAACCTACTGCAGGGAAAAATCTGCCTTGTCAGTCATGTATCAAAAGATACATGATTGCCTAAGCGTGTGTTACACACGGCACATAATTGACTGATTTAGTATAGCCTTTTTAATTTTGTAATAAGGAATAAAGATTTTATGGTTTCTTAAATGTTTAGTTTTTTTTTCTTCAATGTTAAACAAATGTTATTGAAAAATAAAGTTTGTATGTTATACTAAATGTTGTTTAACATCCCAATGATAATAAATTTTAATTAGAAATATAGATTGTATGTTAACTGTTCTTTAAAACAGTGCTTCTCAAACTATCGGATATGGCGGACTGGCATTTTTCTTTACTTTCTCAGTGTGACACACAACTAATATTTTGTGGCAATATTAATTTATATCGGAAACGAAAATGTGTGTGTATATATATATATATATATATATATATATATATATATATATATATATAAAATTGGATTCTAGTTGATTTTTTTTTTTTCTTCCATTTATTTTGCAAAAAAATAATTCAATATCAAAACATAAAAAAATAAAAAAAATAAGCAGTTTAAGACAAAAACAAAAACATCATATAACCTTAATCTTCACAAATGATTCCTTAGCATGGTCTGGACACTGGCTGCATACCAGTAGCTAATGGTTCATGGACCGGCACCGGTTTGCAGACCACCACTTTGAGAAGCACTGATTTAACACTAATATGAGAAATAATGATTGGTGTGAAAGCACCCATAGCTCTACAAATCAAGAATGAAAGATTTCTTTGACTTGTTGCTCAGTGGCACTTCTGTAAATTTTAGTTGGGTATTTTATTTTAATGTGAATCAAAAAGTAAAATTAGTTTTGTATTTATAATAACTGATACAGTGTTATAATGTGAACTGTTTCGACTAGAAATATTCTTGGTCAAACATATCTTGATAGAATGTAAGAAGCCCAAAAAATACGTTACTATTATCCAGCTCAAATTAACATACTCTTTAAAAATGCACCTACTGCCCAAATAATAGAATACCTGAGGAAAATAGAATATTTCCGACGTCTTTAGAAAATAGAGCAAACATGTTGAACCATACAACTTGTTTTAAAATACACCTGAACTATATAACTTATGATATTTTGAAAACAATTTTAAAACCTCACAACCGCTAGAAATGTTCTGAAATATTCCTGAATGGAAATCCAGTTTCAGCATTAAATAACCCACAGAGGTTGATATGCTGGTAAGACAAATTCTCAATCAACTAGAAATATAGGATGTTCCCAAAAATATTTTGACATTTCGCAGGCCAATAATTTTGGCAATTCTTGTTGGAATAACCTCAAATTTTCGCAGAATGTATAGAAACAGGTCAAGATTTTATATTTAATGGAAGAGGACAGTACGTGCTTATCTCCATGAGAATCTGTCAGTTTGGTCAGGTGTGGTGATGAAGACCGTTTTCTGATGACATGGCCACCATAATCACCGGACATGTCCCCATATGATTTCTTTTTATGGGGATATGTGAAGTGACTGGTCTGTGTGTGTCAACCCCCACTTCCTGCTAGGATTGATGAACTCGAGCAGGGAATAACTTCTGTGCTGGATAATGTTACTGGAGACATGCTACAGCATGTTTGGCAAGTGCTTAACTACCGACTTGACGTGTGCCATGTCACAGATGGTGCACACATTGAACACTTACGAAATTGGTCCCATAATAAACTTATGGTGTTCAACACTTAAACTGTTCAATTTCATTGAGCTAAACTTAGTAGTTTTCAAGATAATTTCTTTTAAATTGGTGTCAAATTTTTGGGGCCACATTAGTAGTTACAATACTGAGGCAGTTGTTAGTATACTAACCTACTTTCTCATGCCAATACACGACAGGATATCCGGTTAAGTTTTTCTAACTGTTTTATTAGACTACAACCTATGGGAGGGGATTTTAAGATTTAAAGGTCACCTTATATATGGAAATATACTGTAATAACAACATAATTTTGACTAAACCTGTATTATTGTATAAAGGTTGTAAATTTTATTTTTCTTTGTTTCCTGCAGAGTTGCTTGACAATTGAGGATGACCATTATGTGACTGCAGTTGCCCCCAAAGAGTCGAACAGCTTTAAGAACAGTACCCACTGTAGCAACAAGAGCATCCAGAAATTCAAGTTCTCAAAGATCTTTAAAGAAAACTCTGACCAATTGGATTTTTACAATGGCACGGTGAAGAGTTTGGTTGAGGATTTTCTTGCTGGACAAAATTGTCTCGTCTTTGCCTATGGCGTCACAAATGCTGGAAAGACTTACACAGTTCAAGGTTAGTGTTTGTTTACCACCAGTAAAAAATCTTATCAGCATTAAATAACCCATTGTGGTTGATATGTTGTAAAACAAACCAAACCATCCTTACACATGGGCAGTGGAAATGAGAACTGTTTACCCACCAGTGGATTGAATAAAGGGTTCTGTTTGGAACTCTCTGAATGTTACCTGGGTGGACGCTGAAGGCCAGAGGGCACGACGGCCAAAACATTGTGGTACCAACAACAGATGACAATAGTCAAAATGTAAATAGTGTAAATAAAAAATTCTGGGAGAAATTATTAAATACTTTATTTACCAGACAGATTTTTTTTTCTGTAGTAATCTTGTAAAATATTTTCTCTATTTTGATTTCTTGCTTTAAATTCAGGTCTTGCTGCTAGTTTGCTTTTTATATACAGTGAGGTTTTCGTTGTAGCTAGTGGCTTTAAAAATGACATTTGTGCTACCTTCTGTCTTGCAGACAAACACCTTATGGCAATTAAAACTCCAAAGAAAGTTCTGTTCATTAACAGGTTTATTAAAAGGCGTGAAACTTGGAGAAAAAAAAAATGAATGCAAACTCTAGATTAATTTAGTTGAAATGACAGAGGCCAAAGGCTGAATTTGAAAGACGAAGATTCTGAATTGGAAAAGGATGTAGTACTGTATTTTCTGGCTTACAAGATGCACTTTTTTTTTTCTTTTTTTTTTTCCCCCCAAGAAATTACCCTGAAAATGCATGTGGATCTTCCAAGACGAATGTAAGATACCGCCCAGGCTCAAATAAACTTGGATGATCACCTAATTGACTTGACTGATAGACGTGGATTTGTATGTTGAGTCATTACACTATAATGTTCTGAATCTAATTCAGCCTTTTATATGATGTAACCTCAGTTACAAGTATTGCCAAGAATATAAACCTTCCTGGAGCCAAGCCACAAACATAAACATGCTCTGTTTACTAGTAGCGTCTTGTAAGCTGAAAAATACTGTAAGTAGTTTGCTGTTGGTATTTCCTGATTACGTCACACTAAAATGGTCTGTGCACTTTCTATGCTATAAAATAAAGTACTTTTTGGGCACTTTGCCGTTGTGTAATAGTAAGCTTGACTTCATAGAACAATTACGACTGAGTAGTGGATTCAATCCTCACTGGATACCCCCATGCTTTTGGCCTTGTGCCATATCTAAGCTATGCTTAGAAAATCACTAAATTATGTGTGTGTATATATATATATATATATATATATATATATATATATATATATATATATAAAAAATGCATTTGGGGACTAAATGCTGTTTCTATGTTTACTCACTTGTGCTTTCTGCCCAACCCCCAACCAACTTAAATTTAACAACCCTCTTGCAACATTTGTAGTGGCTACCAATAACAATGCAATTTCTCTTGCAGGCAACCCCCAAAATCCAGGCGTCCTGCCTCAAACTTAGAGACTATATTTAATCATGTGAATGGCAAACAGTGGCGGGGTCTGGATCTGAAGCCCAAAATGTTTCTGGACGTTATCAAATTATCTCCAAGATCTGAGCACGAAGAAAAAAGCAAGAAAGATCTCCTCCTGCGCATGGCTTCATTTGATGTAAGTAAAATGATTCCCACTTTTTGCTGATCTGCATTTCTTATATATATATATATATATATATATATATATATCCTGACTTGTAAAAATAAGATTTTGTGTATTTTAAGTATCAAAATACACATGAAAATGTCTTAAAATAATTGTCGGACTTTGTTCATTTCATAATGTGAGACATCCTTTGTTTACATTGGAGATACACATCAAGCAGATGTGAATGTATGAGAAAATCTTTTCAGTGTTTTATAGTAAACAAAATAAGCTAATGGTGAGTGAAGTATAACGGAATTGATTTTAAGGAAAAAGAAGTAAATTATGTAATGTTAATGAAAATTCATTAAATTAATTATGCCACGTATGTAAAACAAATAATGTAATGAGGATCTTTTAATCACTGTTGCATGATGATTTTTTCTCTTCTAATATCATAATTTTTTCTGCATTTCGTTTTGTTTTTGTTCTTGAAATTTTTTAAATGAAAGACACTTTTTAATTCTGCGTCTGTTATTGCAATCGTTATAGCTGAATGCTGGCTTTCTTTCCATAAAACCGACAGTCTTTTCAATTTCAGTCTGGGTTTCATGTTTTTTATTTCCTTGTGATTGAATGCTGGAGACTAGTTTCTTTGGAAGATTTTATATCATACAATGTTGACTTTCCTATGTTGAACTTGGCCATTAATTACAATGAACTTTCACCAGCATCTAGCCTGTTTAAAATTTCCACTTTTTGCGATAACTCCAAAGTTATTCTTTTCCTCTTATACCCACCATCTTTTGCACCGATACAAGCCATTAGGGAGAAATAAGCATAGTCAATTATCCAAATAAATTTCCTGAAAAACAAATTTCAAATCAGTTACACATCACCCAAATAGTTCAAATATACACATCAGAATCATGTCCGGATATGCGGGATTCTACTGTGTTAAAAAAAAAAAAAAAAAAAGTGTACATTCATCCAATTTGGCATAAATGATTTTTACCTATCTATCTTAGAAGTTTTGCTGACGAATGCCATCAAAATATTGTCACATTCGCGACAAATTAAAATAAGGCTGGCACAAAAACCTCTGCTCTATCAGTGGATGTCTGTGAACAAAAAGAAACAATGAAGAATTCAACATTGCCATGGGGGGGGGGGCATATGATTCAGCAGAGGCATGTGAATTGGTAGGAATATTCTTAATGTGGTGATGAAGATATCTGTATTGATATTAATGATACAAGACTTTATAGAGATGACTGTGTAATCTTACTATGAAAAAAGATCCAAGAAACAGATTGATCAAGAAAAGAACTGCTAAAATTTCAATGATCATGAACTAAAAATTAACTAATGCTCTCTATATGACCTTAGATTTGAGTGCTGGTAATGCAAATCATATACAAAAAATTCACACAACAATAAGTATATAAATAGTGAATCTGATTCCAAAAAATTTATACTTAAACATTTATGCAATATAGTTTAGCAACTAACACTCCTGCATAAAGGAAATCTTTGAAGCTAAAGAGAAATGTGTAAAAGTCTTATAAAAAACCAGGTACAAAGTAAATATGGAATACTTGGAAGGTTACCCCCCCCCCCCCCCCCCCATTTCACTGACCTCCAAAAGCAGCAATATTAAAAAAAAAAAATTCTGGAAGAATCTTTCTCTAGTTAAACATTCAAAAACTCCTGGATATTTAAAAAAAAAAAAAAAAAAAAAATTTACAAAAATAATGTAAAGAACTGCTACGTTAGAAACATTAAAAATCTATATCCTGTCATAATATTTTGAGCCAAAAAGAACAATAACAGAGCAAGTTAGAAATAATAAAAAAAAAAATGTAGCTGCTTAAGCAGTATGATCTGTCCCTTAAATGGCCTATGTTCGACTAAGAATATTGTATATTGTGCTAGCATACAATATGATGGAAATGTTAATTTTACATTGGTTCTGCTGCAAAAGTGGACATTCTCAGCCACGCATATGTATACATGCATACACCTCATCTGCTGAAAAGCTCTTTGGCAGTCATCTCTGAGGAATCGGGTAGTTCAGTGGCTCCGTCGTCATGGCATACCTAGACTTTGATCCTTACCAGTTGTTGAATCATCTTTCTATACAAATGCTGTTCTTTGACTTTTACTTGTTTCCTTTTGATTTTCTTCAGGACTCTGACAGTTCCAGTCTCCTAATAGACAGTGGAAGAGAATCCTGTCCTTTGGAAGTGACAGAGAGGAGTCAAGGTAAAATTGATCACCTCCAAAATCGGGGATCACTTTTTTTTCTCCTTTCTCAATGAAACAAAAAAAACTTGGGCTGTTTTGAGATTACAATTCACTTACGTTCCCTTGTAAACGTGTGTGTGCATATATATATATATATATATATATATATATATATATATATATATATATATAATATATATATAAAAAAATCAAGCGAATCCTAATAATATTAAATTTGATCCACAAAATGAGCTCAATGTTTTATAACAGAGCATGTAAGTTATATAATAGAGGAAACTAAAATTACCTCATGAGAATAGCTATTTCAATCAGACATCAGACGTTACTATGCTGGCATTTTTCGACTCTGTGTGTAGGAATAGTCAGAAACGTAAAAAGTAAACATTTCAAAAAGAAAAAAAGGTAAAAGAAAGGAGCAGGCCCCCATTAAAAGGAGATATTAAGTTAACCCAGCCACCAGTATGGTGGAAGAGCTGGGTGGATATGGAAATGGTTAATACAACCTTGATCTAGACTTTAAATTTTAAACCACAAATCAGGGTGAAATTAAATCAAAGTTAGACACCAAGAACAAACAATTTTAAAAAAGAAAATAAATTATTAGTTATAAAACAAAAAAAAATAAAAATAAAATAATTTCTCCCCCAAAAAAAAAATTGTGTGTGTGTATACTATATATATATATATATATATATATATATATATATATATATATATATTTATGGAATGAAGTAAGTCCAACAATTTAATATATTTTCTGTTTATACGTTATTTTTATAGATAAGATTATTTAAGTAAACGGTCTGTTTATAATAAACAATATTGATTACATTTACCGGCCTGAATGTGCAAGAAGTGCCTTAGAAAATGTGTCTACCTGAGTGATACCCTGTGGTAGGCAAACCTGATTTTTATTTACACTGTTTGGGCTGTTATCCTAATCTTTATTTTTATATTCATGGCATTTCAGCCATTGTACACTCTGGCCTTCAGGGAATATGTTGGAATTTCAAACAGAGCCCTTTATTTAATCCAATAGGTTCTAATTCCACATGCCATGCCTTTTTGGGATATCTCGGTATCGGTTAATTCCTTTTTAGTAACTCAACTTTCCAAGTTGTTGTTCACCACTACGGTGACCAGGTATTGAACTAACAGTTCATTGAGTGAAGTCACTTTTTGAAATGGTTAAATATAACTGCTTCTTCTACTCCATCATCATCTTCTCTCGCACTTCCCGACTGTGGAACTCCCTTTCTCTTTCCTGCTTCCCTGATAACTATAATCTTCAAAAATTTAAATGTAATGTCAATTGGCATCTTCTGTTGCCCTTATCCCAATCCTTCTTTTCATTCCCCACCCTACTCCCCAAGTCTCTTCCCTTACACTCTCTCTTGCATACTAGTGGTATTCCCACCTTGCTTGGGTTGCAATGCTTAAGAAAAAAAAAAAAAAAAAAATCAACCATTGCCTTTATCTGCTGGGCCCTGATGTATTTTTGGACTAAATAAAGGTTGTTTGAATTTTCAACATATATCACCTGAAGGCCAGAGTATACAATGTTGTGAATATGGCAATAAAGATGAAGACAGACGCCCGAATGATGTAAATAGTTACAATAACTCATCTCGGAAATATAGACAGAAATCCTGCCTTTCTTTCTACCTCTGCTACTGTGTTGCATGCGCATTTCATTGAACAATTTATGTGTCGTAAAAATCATTGGTGAAATTGTCATGATTAACTTGGTTTCACAGCTTTAAACATAGTGGTAGTTTTCTTTGAAGGTATGTTTTTGTTTGTTTGTTTTTTTTTTTTTTTTTTTTTTTTTTTTTTAAGGGCCAGAATGACCCTAATAATATAAAATATTAAAACTGATCCACAAAGAGATCTCAATGTATTTATTATAACAGAGCATATAAATTACATAGAATAAAAATCCAGTTACCTCATTTGAATAGCTATTTGACAAGACCTACAAGTAAATCTTGTGGGTTAGAGTGGCTATTCAGATGAGGTAACTTTGGATTTTTATTCTATGTTACATGTATGATTAGTGGCACAAAATTTAATGATCTCCATGCAAACACAAAACATATTACCACTCATGATAATACATGAAGGGTAAAACCAAAAAAAGAGCTAGCTAACTGGTTTCAGACCTCACTCAGCAGAGCTAAATCGTGGTCAATAAATATAGAATTATCAAAGATATGGAAAATATGTTGGGAGGGGCAGATGGAAATATATATATATATATATATATATATATATATATACACTCTAACTCATGCCATTTGCAGAGCTTGAACTAAACTTATTGTCACAGGACATGTCCTTGAGGACACATGTTCCAGTGACTAGACCCAAAGAGTTGTGACTTCAGTACCAGGACACACCAGTGGTGAAACGAAAAAAACTGGGGGGGGGGTTGAGTTAAAGGGAAATAACTGAGACATTCAGAAGAGGCATGTCATGTGGAACTAGAACAATCTACTCCAGTGGATGAAATGAAGGGTTCAGTTCAAAATTACAATAACCTGAAGAAGGCCAGGGCATACAGTGGCTGAAATGTTATGAAGATGAGGATAAGTCAGTAATGTAAAGAATGCAAGTAATCATAATACCTCATCTCAGAGACATAGATAATAGGGTTTCTTAAAACATACTTAATTTTTCTGCAAGACATCTTTCACCTTTGCTGTTGTAATATTTAGTTCGTTATCTCATAATTATGGGTCTATTGCCAGTAATATGTAGAGAGAGCCAAGTGGTTTTTTGATTTATTGTTATTTAAACTGCTTAGGATTATTAAATTTATCTTTCCAAAAAGCTTCAGTTGAACCAATCTAATATATCTTTTTTTTTTTTTCATCAGATTGTATGCTAACTCACTATGTAATCTTGTTGGCATTTTAAGAGGCACATCATAAGATTTCTAATATTTGACAATTGAATGTTTATGGTTGTTTTTTTTTTTTTGTTTTTTTTTTTTTTTTTTTTTTTTTTGTACAGAATCTGATTTGAACGATGAGGAACTTCTGCATTCCACCTATCTCAATGAAACTGCCTATGGGGACCAGATCAAATATTCTGTGTGGGTCAGCTTTGCAGAGGTTTACAATGAGCAGGTGTTTGATCTGTTTGAGGTGCCTAACCTGAAGAAGAGGTCATTGCTGAAATTGGGAGAGGACAAACACGGCAATCCATACATCAGAGGTCGGTCTTTTTTTTTCTTTCGCTTTTCTTATGTTGCTGCATATAGATATGCAAATGAATGTCTTAGAGGGTATTGAGAATTTCATGTTTTGGCACTAATCAGCCTATAGGAGTCTGTGTACCATAAAAGCACTTTCAGAATCAGAACCTTGGAGATGGGGTTAAACACTTGGGGACTCATTTTGTACTACATGACCATTATATAGGAGTCAGTGTGCCATAAAACCACATTCAGAATCAGAACCTTGGAGATGGGATTAACCTTTAGCACACAATTATTCCCCTTGTCACTGCATTTTTGTAAATCTGCAAAAAGTATGAACACCTATTTTAAAATTGTTATAACTTAAAAGAATGGATGAGTAATATTTTGACATGATGCATTATGTTTTACATGTATGTTTTGACATTGAAAACAAAGATCGAGGCCATGCTTCCTTGTGTTTATATATGAGAAGGCACCAGCATTTGTTTGCATACGGGAAGGTGCCTGCGTTAGTTTGCTCTTTCACCTGACTAGCATATTTATTTGTCTCTGACAAATAGTTATTTCGTCATTTATAAATAGACAAAAAATAATTTCCCTGCAGAAGATCTATGGGGCCAGTAGCTGCCATGAAATTAGTCGGCCATGGATGATGATAGCCACTCTGTACCCGTGGTCATCATTGCTTTCCTTCACATATTGATGCGTGGTTATAATCTTCAACCACTTCACCCTCAATATCCACTAGAGTAAAGCCTTCAAAATCATTGGTGTCTGAATCAAAGAAAAACTCATGAATAAAGACTTCATTGGATGTTCATGCAGCCATTTTTGTTTACAAAAAAATTGCAAAAAAAAACACATGGATTTAGTTGATTTTATGCCTTGTGTAGTCTAGAAGAATTCAAAATGGCGTTGGAAAAGGGAAGTTTAGCCTTGTTCTAAAGCAGTAGTAGGTAATTTCCAGCTTAAAATACCAGAAATAACAGTTGACAACAGTTTATTTACAGTATGTATGTCCACTGAATTTTTGATACCTAACATTTAAAATTAACTTTTAAAAAATGAAAAAGCATTCTTGAAGATTTCATTTTGGCTTTAATTGTAAGTTTATTTAATTGTAACTTTATTTCCATTAAGTAAAATATTCTGGAGTATTTCAAATAGAAATTATATAGATTGGGATGTCAAATTGCTTGATTTTACTTTTTTTTGTGTTTTGTTTTGTTTACAAATTTCTTAAAGTTGCTTTAAAAATCTTCCAAAATTAAATTTTAGATTTGTGATATGTTATTTGCATGAAATTAGAAAACTTAAAATTAATCTGATTTGAAATAAATATTACTTAATAACATAAAAATCAATATACAAGCATAACTTAATGATGGATTCCTCTTTCTTTGATCTTTATTGACGTATTGAGAAGCTCTTAAGGTGATGACAGCACTTATTGATGACCAGAAATGACTTAAATTTACAATCTAAGGGAAGGCTTTTTTTTTTTTTTTTTTTTTTTTTTTTAGTTAGTAATTTTTACAGATCGGTATATTTTCAGCAATTGTTTGATATTTTATTGACTTTTAGTTAGGTTTCAATTTGCATTTAGTCTCTAGGATCTTAAATTTACCACCTTTTTTAAACAAAAAAATTAATGAATTGAAGTATGACCCAAGCTAAAATACATTAAAATAAAAATATTTAGTGAAATAGCAATTGGGAAAAGTGAAACTTTCCTTGATATTTTGAAGGGATGATTTGCAAAGACGTTAATTATGAAACAGAACTGAATATTAAAACTGAAATAATTGCAATGCATCAGACGATACTTAAATCATGTGAACTTTTTAAGGATTATGCCATATAGATTCTCATAGGTAGAAATTAGGAATGTTTTTTGTTTTTCACAGGCAAAAACAAAACTAAAAAAACAGTTTGGTCTGCTGCTGATGTGAAAATAAAATTTTTAGCCACAAAAAAAAAAAAACTATATTAAGAGAATAAAAATCTTGAATATGGCTCTTAGTGCAAAAGACATGGAGTCTTGGTTCTGTTAAACAGGGTTCATTCTTCTGAGATCAATTCCTTGGCACTTGGGACATCTTTGCTGCTACTTGTCTTCTCATGACAGACTGACCAGATTTTTCCCTCCTTTCACCCAGTGATAACACTGTCTTAATCTAACAGTGCTTGTGTTTTTCTCTTACCTAGAGTACAGCCTGATTATGAGCCAATGACTGGAATTTCTTGCCTTCTGCATAAATGTGGCTTGATCCCAAATGTTTTGTTTCCTTTTCATTATTTCCGGAAGGATGGTGGTTGCTTTGAAATTCTCATACCATGATTTTTACTGTTATCATAAAATCCAAGTTGCTCAAGATAAATTACTTGCAGTCCACTTTGAATACATGGCTGGACTAACCAATCGAATGGGGGAATCTGTTGTGCCACATGTAATGTAGTGACATTAACTCTTTGAAACATGTATGAATCAGATTTCAGGCAGCCCCTTGTGTATGCTACTTATACATAATTAAAGGTTTACATGACATAGGGTTTTTTTGTTTTTTTTTCCTCTTCTCTCTATCACATTAATGGTCTATTGCTTGTCCTTCAGGATTGACAGAAGTGAATGTGACTTCAGCTGAAGAAGCTTTGAAACTGTTGACCATTGGTCAAAAGAATTTACGCAAAGCGGCCACAAAACTGAATCATAACTCTTCGAGAAGGTATTTATTACGGAGTTGAATATCCATTTGCTAATCCCTTGTTTTGGAATGGGAAGAACTTGGTCCCCTCCCTTTTTTTTCCCTCTCATATATATATATATATATATATATATATATATATATATATATATATATATATATATATAAATATATCTGTTGAGGAAACTGAAAATAGGTCTTGTATGTCCCTGTATGTTGGTAAGTTTCTCTATTCTAAACAGCTGAAACAAAGGCCATTCTTAGTTATATGCCCCCCCCTTTTTTCCCCGCCTAGTTTCCCTTTTCGAGACATTTGCACGTGTTGGTGTTCTACCATGTTATAAACATCAGTCACGGGAAGCAAGCTGTTGTGGGGACAGCCAAGTGGCATTCCCAGAGTCGGGCCCTTGCTGCTGCCAGCCTTGCAGGCATTTGCTCCTATACATCGCAATTGTAGTTGATAAAGCATCAAAAAATGCAAATATAGAAACTGAGATAAACAAATGCGTGTAGAAAACCGACTTGTTCCAATCAAACAGTTCTCACTGTCCTGTTAAAATTGTTGGCACTTACTCCCCCTCCCTATATAGAGAGTACATAGTACTCACAGGTGTGTTGTTACCAGCCATTCATGTTGAGAATCCCTTTTATATATATATATATATATATATCTGTCAATCCTAGGCAATAGGATTGCATAAATGTCAAATTCAAATTTCCCATGTTCATTTATTGACCAATCAGGGAGGTTTCTTCAGGCACATCTGAAAAGCTTTGAAAAAACAGGCAACCATTTATCAATTTAAAAAAAACTTGGAAATAATATTTATTAACCAATAAAACTTCTAAATTTAAGAAATCCTAACTTTCTGTAATCCAACATTTTCCTAACTCGGTTATTTCATGAATATATTTACCTCTTCTGATCAAAAAAAAAAAAAAATATACACATACATACACACCAAGATAAATATGTAACTTACAGTGTAATAATTACAAGAAAATCCTTAAAAATCCATCTGTTATAATTTTTCATGAATATATTTCAGTATTCATCTCTTCATATCAAAGGTTCCCCCCCCTTTTTTTTTTTCAAAATTTTGTCTTGTTTGTTTTTGTTTTCCCCCTCCAGATCTATTTTCCCTTTTTTTTGTCTTTGACAGTCACTGCATTTTCAACATAAAACTGCTCAGAGTGGTCAACAGAGAAAATCCAAGTGTTGCTAAAGTGACCATGTAAGTTGATCCTGATTAAATTTGCCATTCATTTACAAAAGATAAAATGTGTTGAAAAGGTTGGGGGATAGCTATTCATTTTGTAATGCCCCATGTTGCTCAACCTATTAGGAGTGTGTAATGTCGGATGTAAAATCACTTCTGCTTTGTCTTAAAAAAAAAAAAAAAAAAAGCCTAAAACTTTTTTCATTGGCCTGCCATACCTACATTCTGTAATAAGCATATGTAGACAATCTTTGTCTCCTCATTTTTAACCGTGTCTGTCGTGTGTGTGTGTGTGTGTGTCTGTCCTGTGTGTGTGTGTGTGTCTGTCCTGTGTGTGTGTGTGTGTCTGTCCTGTGTGTGTGTGTGTGTCTGTCCTGTGTGTGTGTGTGTGTGTGTCTGTCCTGTGTGTGTGTGTGTGTGTCTGTCCTGTGTGTGTGTGTGTGTGTCTGTCCTGTGTGTGTGTGTGTGTCTGTCCTGTGTGTGTGTGTGTGTGTCTGTCCTGTGTGTGTGTGTGTGTCTGTCCTGTGTGTGTGTGTGTGTGTGTGTGTGTCTGTGTGTGTGTGTGTGTGTGTGTGTCCTGTGTGTGTGTGTGTGTGTCTGTCCTGTGTGTGTGTGTGTCTGTGTGTGTGTGTGTGTGTCTGTCCTGTGTGTGTGTGTGTGTGTGTCCCTGTGTGTGTGTGTGTGTGTCTGTCCTGTGTGTGTGTGTGTGTCTGTCCTGTGTGTGTGTGTGTGTGTGTCTGTCCTGTGTGTGTGTGTGTCTGTCCTGTGTGTGTGTGTGTCTGTCCTGTGTGTGTGTGTGTGTGTGTCCTGTGTGTGTGTGTGTGTGTGTGTGTGTCTGTCCTGTGTGTGTGTGTGTGTGTCTGTCCTGTGTGTGTGTGTGTGTGTGTCTGTCCTGTGTGTGTGTGTGTGTGTGTGTCTGTCCTGTGTGTGTGTGTGTGTGTGTCTGTCCTGTGTGTGTGTGTGTGTGTGTCTGTCCTGTGTGTGTGTGTGTCTGTCCTGTGTGTGTGTGTGTGTGTCTGTCCTGTGTGTGTGTGTGTGTGTGTGTGTCTGTCCTGTGTGTGTGTGTGTGTGTGTGTGTCTGTCCTGTGTGTGTGTGTGTGTGTGTCCTGTCCTGTGTGTGTGTGTGTGTCTGTCTGTGTGTGTGTGTGTGTGTCTGTCCTGTGTGTGTGTGTGTGTGTGTCTGTCCTGTGTGTGTGTGTGTGTGTGTGTGTGTGTGTGTGTCTGTCCTGTGTGTGTGTGTGTGTGTGTCTGTCCTGTGTGTGTGTGTGTGTGTCTGTCCTGTCTGTCCTGTGTGTGTGTGTGTGTGTGTGTGTGTGTGTGTGTCTGTCTGTCCTGTGTGTGTGTGTCTGTCTGTCCTGTGTGTGTGTGTCTGTCTGTCCTGTGTGTGTGTGTCCTGTGTGGGTGAGAAATCTTATAATACACTGCTCACATAGGGTGCCACAGTTGCTAAACCGTAACCAAGTGGTAAAGTGTGTTTGTTTTTTTTTTTTTTTTTTCTCCTTTCAGGTTGTCTCTCTGTGATTTAGCAGGAAGTGAACGAGCTTGTAAAACGAATTCCACTGGTGATAGGCTGAAAGAGGCAGGCAATATAAACACGTCTCTTATGACTTTGGGGCGATGCATTGAGACTATGCGGTCAAATCAACTGAGAAAGTGAGTTTGCCAATTGCTTTTTACTTTTCGACAAAAAAAAAAAAAAAAAATTCTCCCCCTCCCTTTTACACACCTAACAGTTGTTGATATTGATACAGTGTGCAACAGAAATACCTCCCATATAAGACATTAGCTAGATGTCGAAAAACCAGCCTTCTTCAGGTGATTGGAATTTCGAACTGAACCCTTTATTTCATCCACCAGGGTATATTTAGTTCCACGTGCCATGCCTCTTCCGAATGTCTCGGTTATTTCCCTTTAGCTCAACTCTCCAAGTTTTTGTTTGCCACTCCTTTGGCCTGGTATTGAACTCACAACTCATTGGGTTTAGTCACTGGATCTAACCAACATCTTTATCCACTAGGCCATGTGTCTTTGAAAACATCTGTGTATGAATTTCTGGGAATTCCAATCACCTGAAGAAGGCCGGGGTTTACAATGGCTGAAACATTGTGAATATGGCAATGATGATGAGTCTGAATAATGTAAGTAATGAGAGGCCCAGTTTATGGCGATATGTGGAGGAGATAAGTTAAAATTGGAGAAGCATCCTCTTGGTATTCTGTTCCATAAGACTGGAAAGAAGCTGCTAAAGTGGAACTTGCATCTCTCCCAGTGATTTGCTACAATGTGTGTGGCATGGTAGATCTTAGTCGTGATGGTTAGAACTAGTGAAACTAAGGAATGAACTCCTTTTTTTTTCTTTTTCCCCCATGGGAATAGAGCAGTGAGTGGCTTGGGCAGATGAGATCTCCATGAAGGCAGTACCATCGAGTGCAGCATCAGCTCATGGGTACAACATACCCTAGGCATCAACTGAAGCCGGGTTGTACTGGTTCTTTGTGCCACCAGATGAAGATTCTCCAGCCCAAGAGAGGGGGATTATCCCAATGCAATGATTTTCCCCCAATATAAATTCTTCCCGCACACACCTGTTTTGAAAATGAATCGGGATTCATTGATGAATTACAAGACAGTTTTCTTTGGAACCAAAGGACAGCCATAATGATAATCATAGGTTACTACACATTCCTTAAAGGACAGATGCTTTGGATATGGGAGATAAGGGGGGGGGGCTTAATTTTCTGAAATGACAAAAAAAAACTTGTGTAAAATAATGGATTGTTTGTATTTTTTTTTTTTTCTTATCTCTCTCTTGTAGAATATAGTAAAATTTTGAAGTCGGTTTGTAAGCAAAAATCTGCAGAAATTAAGTATTTCTGTATGTTTCTTTCAGATATTTTAAGCCTTTGAGCCCTGACCACCACTTTACCGGTGGTAGAGAAAAATGACTTAATGTCCAGCCACACTTGTAACTATTTTTATACCTACTGTGAAACATTACATACCAATTATTTGTGAATTTTGACTCGGGAGCTCAGGCAAAAGGGTTAAAATTCTTCAGAAATGCAGGGCTGAAAGGGTTAAACTAAATTCACAAAAAATTATGAATCTAATTTTTGGGTGTCTGTACTTATTACGTCAAATCCCAGCTTTTACACAGTGCCATCTTGATTTTTCTAAATGTGAAAAATCGACTTTCCCTCGTGTGAATGTATAGTTTAATTATTAAAGCCTAAGAAGTAATTTATTATTTTATCTTCCTTTTTCTACTTCCTTAATTCAATAACAGAATTTTATATCATCTTAAACTAATGTTTTATGGTCCTAGGGACAATGTTAATCTTGAGCACAGTAACACCCCTAAGAAAGGAAAGATGTTGGTAACTGATAGACTGTGACTATAGCCACCAAGACAAAACAGGGTTTTTTGGTCTCTTCTAATGCTTTTAAAACATTCTACTCTTTACCTGATGATTCAACAGACTGAAGAATGGATTGACTAAACGCTGCATTCAAATTTCAAATGACTCTTAAAATTATCAGATTTATTAAACCATTTCAGAATTTCATCCGACATCACTGGGAAGGGGGCTCAATTTCATACCCCCCCCCCCCCCACACACACACACTTTCTGTGCTAGATTTTAATGTAGAAAAAGGTTTTCCTGATGGTACAAAATTATTACAGTAAAAACTGACAGTAATTCAGGGAAAGAAGAAATGTATTTAAAATATCACTCGGTAAGTTCTGGTGATAATAAAATTGAATTATACCAATAATAAATGTACCTTTTGGTCCAACTCTATTGTTCCAAGCCCTTGAGTTATTTTTCTGTTTAGAGAGAGAGGGCTGCAAGGACTTGATATATATCATTTGCAGGGCTTTCAATTGAAACTCTGAAATGGGACTTTTTTTTTTTTTTTTTTTTTTTTTTTTTAAATTCAATAATAGAATTTTATATCCTTAAACTAATGTTTTAACATCCTAGGCATGATGTGAATCTTGAGCTCTGTAACATGTCTAAGAAAGGCTAGGTGTTTTGGTAACTGATATACTTTGATTATAACCACCAATACAATGAAAACCAGTTATTTTTTTGTCTGCCATCTCCTACTTTTAAGACCTTCCACTCTTTTCAACACTTGAAGACGAGATTGAAGAATGGATTAATCAAACGCTTTTGATATGGAAGACTAATGGGCAGGGAAAAAAAAAGAATTTACTTTCTGAAACCTGAAAAGGAAAACTTTGTGTAAAATAATGGATTGGCTTCTATCAATCTTTTTGTATTTACCTTTACTTTTTTTTATTTTTTTATTTTATAGGGACATTCCGCCCCGAATGATCCCATACAGGGATAGTAAGCTGACTCGTTTGTTCCAGGGTTTTTTCAGTGGTCGAGGCAAGGCAGTGATGATAGTCAATGTCAACAAATGTTCAACCCTGTTTGATGAGACACTCCAGGTGTTCAAGTTCTCAGCAATTGCTAAGCAGGTGGGTTCTCTGTCAAGACTTAAATTGCTTTACTACTACCTCCATTTTTGTCTTTAGCTACAATTCCCCACAGTGTTCTAGCATGCACTGTCCCCACCCTACAAAAGCTGAGAAGATTTCTCTCTCCACCCCCACGTGGATTCTGATGTTTTAAAATGTATGTTTTATCTCGGAGATTATTTTACTGGCATCTTATATATTTCTAACCCTATGTTCCTTTGTTATAAATCTAATGAACTTTTGTTCAAAACTAATGAGAAAGGCATTAATTTGTTTTAGGTCTTGACAGACTGAAAATTTGATCTTACCATATATGTAATAAGGGTAAAACCAAAATATTTCAGAAACTTTCTCAATTTGCAAATATGTAATTGAGCAGACTTTTTTTTCTTTTCTTTTTTTTTTTTTTTTTTTTTTTTTTTTTTTTTTAAACAGTTCATATTTATAGCATAACTTACAAGTAAACAACACCAAATTCTAGAAGGCTGCAGAAAGTCATTGCACTACTAGAAATATATGATTTTAGAAACTTCATGTGGTGATTTGGGGTGGGGGGCACAAGAGTTTATTGTGATGCAGGAAATGAATTTGCAAAAAGTCAGATCCTTTTTATTTATATATATTACATCGTAGGATGTTCTGTAGGGTACCCTGCAAATATGCAGGATTGAGTGGTGATCGATGAGTTCTTGTGGCAAATGGGCAAATTGTAATGTATCAATAAGTCGTGATTCTGATTGACTAGGATAGCTAATGAAGACCAGCCTATCCCCTCTGGCCTTGTACCACAATTTTGTATTTTACTAATATATAATATATATATATATATATATATATATATATATATATATATATATATATATATATATATATATATATATAATTTATCGACACATTACTTTTTGAAAATTAAGCTTAAATCTTAAAATTTAAGTTTAAACTCAAAATTTGAGCTCAGTTCCATTCTCAAGCAATGCTAAGAATAACTTATATTATTCATTAAATCTAATGTTATATCAAGGAAGTTTAACATTTTTTATTTTAACAGTAATTTTCAATTTTAGGCTATTAAATTCTCTGTATTTATTTTATCTATTTTAAAATTAGTAGACTTCCTCACTACCATGAATACAAGTAATTTTTATAATAAAGCTCTAAAGAATAGTGGCTGTAAATGGCCTAACATCAACTATATAAAATATAATAGAAACCAGAGGAAAAAATAGGAATAGAAAAATAATTTGGTAAACATCTCTGTTCAACCAAATGATTAATAGTAAGTTAGGACAAAAATTTCTGCCTTTTCATTGGAAAAGCATTTTCCAAAAATATTATGTTCTACTTGGGCACTTTTTTTTTTTTTTCTTCCTTTAATGAAAATAATTGCTGAAGTGTTCCTGATTATAAATCTGACTGTTCTTTCCTATTTGAAAAATATATATAATTGCCCTAGTTAAATAGTAAAAAAAAAAAAAATTTTTTCAAAATGCTTAAAAAAAAAAAAAATGGCTGCTTTTGTGCAATATCTTTGCAAAGAATTTTTCTTTTGAATGGAGATGTCAGAACACAATATATTGTAATCAAAATACTCTTTAAATATGCATAAATTTATCATGTAGATATTTACTCGACCCCAACAAGGTCAGGTTAATGTGGGGAGCCCGAGCGCATGCACCCAGGCAAGGAACAAAAATTCCCCGAGCCCCCGCAACTGTCAGTTGCACTGGCCTCAGTGCATGCACCGATCCTTCTCTTTAGTGCAATGAGAAGGCGCAGCTTCAGGCAGCTGTTCCCCAGGGCCAGCACCTCTCTATATAATTTTCTCAGTTGCGACTCTCTCTCGATGGAGTGGCCCCATGAGTGCACTCTGCCCAAAGAACTGAGAGATAAGTAGATGTGTACCTACTTGTAACATGAATCAAAGATTCTGACCGAAACAAGGAAATTCTATTCCAGTTATGACCTCCAATCTTCCTGTCTGGTTTTGTATTGAGAAGCAAAAATGAGAACATTTTCTTTGGTGGTCTAGTCAGGCCTTAGGATTTGGAAGCAACCTTTTTTTTTCTATTATTGCATTGATTCTCTGAATGAAATGCCTATAAAATTTAAATTTGTGTTGGTTGAAAAGACTTCTCTGTTTTGATTTGATAGTGAGTCCTTGAGATAATGAATCTGATATCTATTGGTGTTTTATTTATTTTATTTTATTTTATTTTTCCCTTTAGGTTGTAATTCAGCAAAAAGCTGAGAAACCAGTTACGATCACAATTTCACCTGTCTTGCCTGTGAAGCCTCTTTCACACATGGAAAGGGCATCGATCCCTTGGGCAGATGACGGTAAGCAGTTGGTGTTGCATTGCTATCATTTCATTATGACATGGTTCTACCTAATAGCAAAATAACACTAGGGAGTATGTATTTTATTAAATGATGTCTGGCACTTGATTCTAGGTAAGTTGGGTGCACTGAATATGAAATTCAACACTGTTTGGCACTATCAGGTCCTGATTCTTGTCAATAACCTACATATGTTCCATTTGACTGATTTTTCAAATTAGGACTAAAAAATTAAGTCTTGTTAAAAAAAGACCTTTTTTTTTTTCTTTTTTTTTTTAACTATGATGAATAAAATCAATTAACCTGTAGTTTGGGGGTTGCCTTTCCCATAAGTGAATATTACAAACCAAACTGGAATTTGAATTTGGAAAATCTTAAATTCACCATGGCAAGACTCAAACATGGTTTGGGCTCACAACCATGTCACATTGATATCCACTTCCCCATAAGACCACTGATGTTAAGCAATGTCTTGCCTGGTCAGTACCAAGGTGGGTGACTACTTGGGAATACCAGGTGCTGTAATCTTGGATGTGTGGGTGGTATAATGGATAACAGTTCAGAATTGCCCACCTCCCCCCACCCCCTTAAGTTCAGCAGAAAACTGAGAAACCAGTTATGATCATAATTTCTCGTGTCTTTCCTGTGAAGCTTCTTTCACACATGAAAGGATGGGGGGGCATTAATCCCTTGGGCAGATGGCGGTAAGAAGTTGGTATTGCATTGCTATCATTTCATTATGACCTTCTACCTAATAGCGAAATAACGCTGGGGGGGGGACGTATTTTATTAAATGATGTCTGGCACTTGATTCTAGGTAATTTGGGTGCATTGAATATGAATTTCAACTTGGCTTGGCTTTATTAGGTCCTCATTCATGTCAACAGCCTGTGTGCTATTTTCCAGATTTTTAAAATAAATTATGACTAAAAAAAAAAAATTAAGTCGTGTGTTGAGGGTTCTGGCCCTGCATATTACCAAAATTTTTTTTTTTTTTTTTTAAAGTATGATGAATACAAGCAATTAACCTGTGTCTAGTGGGGAGGTGGATTCATGCCTTTCCCCAAGGCTATTTATGCATAAGTGAATATTACGAGCCCAACTTGAATTGGAACTTGGTGAATTTTGAAAAATTCACCATGACGAGACTCTAACCTGGGTTAGGCTTACAACCATGCCACATTGAAACCCATTTCCCATATGATCACCGAAGTTAAGCAATGTCTTGCCTGGTCAGTACCTAGATAGGTGACCACTTGGGAATACCAGGTGCTTTAAGCTTGGATGTGTGGGTGGTGTAATGGATAATGATTCAGAATTGTTAATTAGAGAGCAGTGTTCCAATTCCATTACAGCCACGTCCGGTTTCTGGTTTATTCATTTAGCAATTCATTGTGATTTTGTAAGCATAGCTTAGATGTAGCACAAGGCCAATATTATTGGGCACCTGGTGGAGATGGAACTCGTTACTCGGTCATAATTGCTCTAGCGAGAGTAGTTTGTCAACCATTACACTGCATATAGGTGTCGCAGCGTTAGTAATTCATGTGATTGTACGGGAACTGATGTTTCAATGTGACATAGTCGTAAGCCTAACCAAGGTTTGAGTCCTTCGATGAGCTTAATTAGTAAGATTTGTTTCACTAAACCATTATCTTCGGGTGGGAGCTAGGTTTGGGTACCTTATGGCACATAGTGCACTAGGTCTCTGTATTCGGCCCTTCAAAAAGTGTGGATGGTCCTGCACGAAACCTTCACCACTATAATCAAATCTCATATGCTGCTGTCGGTTTCTTGGGAACTGATCTCCTTGACCCTCGCACGTCGGATTCGATGGAAGAGTCGAGCAACGGTTTTTTGGGAACCTTTCAATGACACATCAACGGTTTGATGTTCATTGTGAGCTGGAGAAATGTACAAGGTTCAGCTTTTTCAGTTGTTGCTTTTAGTAAATTTTATCTTGTTATCTATCTGTGGAGAGTTGAGAGTTGGTTACAAAATTTGAAAAGTTAAATTAGTTTATTTTAATAGTGACTTATGAATGTGAATTTTTTTTTCTGTCATCTAGTACTCTTAAGACCTCTTTTCAGCACTTAAATCCAAAAGTGAAGAAGGGATTGACAAAATGCTGCACTCAAATCTAGAACAATTCTTAAAATTATTAGATTTGTTAACCCATTTCAAAAAATTTCATTTGACATCACTGTGAAGGAGGCAAAATTACATTATCTCCCCCTCCTTCCCTTATTTGGGGTTAATTCCCTTGTACTAGATTTTAATGTAGAAAAGGTTTTCCTGATGGTACAACATTATTAAAGTAAGGATGACTGATAAAAAATGTGAATGAGTGAGAGAGAGAGATCACTCGGTAATTGCTGGTGTTGTTAACGCTAAAATTTATGCCAATAATAAATCTACAATTTGATCCAAGCCTGTACTATATATAATTTCTAATATAAAAAAGGAAATGGAATCTTGTAACTTGAATTTCTTAGTTTTTAAAACTGACTTCTATCTTGTTGCAGTCCAAGAGATTTCTCGTGCAAACTATTCAAATCGTTTGTCAATTGCCAATGAAACAATGGAAGATGAAGAAATCACGGAAAGAGAAAGGGTGAGTTCCCTTTTTTTTTTTTTCTTTTCCCCTTCTCTTTTGTGGCCGGTGAATATGGGTGGATTGCAAAATGGCACATTAAGTTATTTTTTGCTATGTACATATATTTCAATAGGGTGGGAGGTGGGAAACTGTTACAATCGATTCATGCACCTCTTTTCCTATCATGGTGGTATTTTCGAAGTATCAACGTTCATATACACTAATTACAATATTTTCTTTGTCTATTCTATTTGCAGGGTTTGCTTGACATTATTGACAATTGCAAGAAGGCAATTGCCAATTTGAAGGAATCTCTAGCTAAGGAAAAGAAGGAACGAATGTTGGATGAAATTAAGTTCAGAGATGAAATAACAAAGGAATTAATGGAACAATTTGTGGCTATTGAAAAGAATTACACGTAAGTCTCTCACTCTTGCATTTTTTTTTCTTAATACTCTGTAACCCCCTTGAGGTTTTGCTGCCTTACATGGAGGTGTGATATGATTTAAAAATTTCTAACTTATCTGACACATTTCCTAGAAAACAAACTTTACAAACATCAGAGAGGAAAATTGAAAACTACTAAGTGTGAAAAGAGGACACTGTGCTAACTAGAGTTCATGTTAGACATACAAGACAAACTCGAGTGCATCTGTTAAGAGCTGAAGATGTACATTGATGCACCCATTGCAATCTTAGATTGATGCTAAGAGCTGAAGATGTACATTGATGCACCCATTGCAATCTTAGATTGATGCTAAGAGCTGAAGATGTACATTGATGCACCCATTGCAATCTTAGATTGATGCTAAGAGCTGAAGCTGTACATTGATGCACCCATTGCAATCTTAGATTGATGCTAAGAGCTGAAGCTGTACATTGATGCACCCATTGCAATCTTAGATTGATGCTAAGAGCTGAAGATGTACATTGATGCACCCATTGCAATCTTAGATTGATGCTTAAGCACATTTTGATTGAATGTAAAAGCTATCAGCTTAAATGTAGTAAATACCACAATGTTACAAATATAAAAACATTAAGGATGTTTTCCCTGGCCAGATAATAGGGTTTCTAAAAGAAATAGGAATTTTTAAATTGTTTGTATGGTTATATAAAAACGGGTATAAATGGTCCAAATTAATGGATTAAACTATTTAAAATATATATTCACCTGGTTGCAAATACAATACACCTGCTAAGAGCTGAAGCTGTACATTGATGCACCCATTGCAATCTTGGATTGATGTTTAAGCACATTCTATCAGCTTAAATGTAGTAAATACTAGAATGTCACAAATACAAAAACATTGTTTAAAGATGTTACCCCTGGCCAGATAATAGGATTTCTAAAAGAAATAGGAATCTTTAAATTCTTGTAAAAAATATTTTTATGTATGGGTCTATAAGGACTAATTAAAATACAAGGTGTCCCAAAAAATTGGACATCATTTTGCAGGCCAATAATTTTGGCAATTCAAATTTAATCAAAGAGGACATTACATGCTTATCTCGACGAGAATCTGCCAGAGATGGATCAGGCATGGTGGAGGTGAAGACAATTTGTTTTTATGAAAATGGCTGCTGCAGTCATTGGACCTGTCCTCATGTGGTTTCTTTTTATGGAGATTCAAGTAGAGAATCACTTCTGCACTGGATAATGTTACCAGAGACATGCTACAGCGTGTTTGGTAAGAGCTTTACCAACTTGCTGTGTCACAAGCGGTGCACATATTAAACACTTATGAAATCGATCCCATAATAAACTTATGATGTTCAACACCTAAACTGTTCAATTTCATTGAGCTAGACTTAGTAGTTTTCAAGATGACTGCTTTTAAAATGTCAAATTTTTTGGGACACTCTGTATTTCAAATTGACAAATTAAACAAACTATTTAAAACTAATTGTAGTTACCAAACCAAGATCCTCTAACTATTGGAAATTAAAAAAAAAAAAAAAAAAATATGTATACGTATTCATCTGGTTGGTATAAAAATGATCCATCATGGTTGACATGCCATTAAACAAAATCTGATCAACCAATCAATTTGTCCGTTGTGCTATAGCAAAATTTCTCTAGCTTTTTAATCTTGTCATCCTTGAAATAAGTTTTCATATCTCGGGGAACACCTTGTATAAAAATGATTATATACCTTTATTAATATCTTTTATATTTCTATCATGGTTCACATGGTAAGCATAATATATGGACATCGCTAAATACATTCCATATGATTATAATTTTGAATGATATAAAACAATGCATTTTTATAGTAGAATGAGGACCAATGCATTTTTATAGTAGAATGGCCAAAAGTATGTTTCAATTGTCATTGAAGGCATGCAATTGCATTCGAAATATTTAGGTTTTGATATTAAATAACCAAGATGTTGATATGGCACTAAACAAAATAAAACCACCAACATGAAAGAACTCTTTCATGACTTTAATCCATATAATATCCGACTATTTCTTAAATCAAACTGTATTCCAAAATATAACTACAACAAAACCTACAACATAAAACACACAGACCACCTCCAGTAATTGTCTGCACAAACATGTAGATGCGCAAAAGCTGAGTATCATCTACCATGTATTCAACTGTGAAAGCAGAATAATACATCAGCTTTTTATTACTTCAAAGCTCCCAAGAAAACATAATTTAGACATTTAATGACCCATTAGGAGTTGATGTGCCGTTAAACAAAACCAGCAAGCATAATGCCTGCTGCTAGCTATAGCTTATGGCTGCTAATCTTTTAAATTTTTTTCTTTTTTCTTTTTTCTTCCATTCTTAAAATACCTATTCCTCTGTTAAAGAGAGAAAATCCAAGACAGCCAGCTTAAGGCTGAAGATGCCACAGACAACAAAATCACTAAAATGTTGGAAACCTTGAATCCTGCCAAAAAACGGTCTCATGACGAAATGGAACCAGAGGAAGAGATGGTTCCTCTTCATGTCTTACAAGAATCACAGAAGAAAATAGCGGTAAGTGTGTGTGTGCGTGTGTTTTATTTATGAATATAAGCTACACCTTGAATCTAGCAGAAATGATTAGTCAGAAAATGATTCCTATGTAGATAAGTTTTTTTTTTTTTTTTTTTTTTTTAAGAACTTTCCCTGTATGGGTTTATCAGTTTATTTTCTGAAGCCCCTGCACAAACAGGTTGAGGTTAATACCTATCTTAAATAGAGAATAAAAAGATGCATAAATTAAAGTATTTCAATTTTTGTTTTTTTAATTGAAAGTATCCATTTGTTAATTATTTTTAAAAAAATATTTTGGTGTGTGTCTCCAAAGTTTATTCTTGTAGACAAAACTAGCTTAAAAACTGCCCTATCAGATGGCATTTAAGCTAGCTCCTGCAGAGGGCTCTTAATTGTGCCTTTGGCTTGTTATTATATAGAAGATAAAGCTATTGAAAGTTAGTTGTCTCCCTTTAATTGGAAAAAAAAAATGTGACACATTTTTCTTATTATATAGAAGATAGCTTAGTTCAGTAACTCTATAAAAGTCTCATATAGATTTGACACTATCACTATTGTCAACAAATCCACTTTTAAATCAATAAATATATCAATTTTGGCTTAAGGAAGTTCTAAATATTAATGTGAAAAAATGTTTACCAAATTTATATATAGTCATCCACAGACAGTTTTCCTGTATCACAGCTCATCAGTGTGGCTAGACATCTGATTGCTTCAAGGCGGGATCAAAACCCAACTGATCCGATATCAGTTGGATATTTTACCCCCTGATCTCTCGGCACCTGGTAGAAGAGGAAGGTGATTTTTACATGCCTATTCTTGGAATAAACACTCCAATTGACCGACTACTCAATTCATATAAGAACTTTGCAGTATTAGTCATTGTTTACAAATTCATGCTTTCACTCAAGTGCTTGACCAGAATTGTGTGAGAGAGAGAGATAGAGCGTGTGAGAGAGATAGCCAGAAACTTTCCAATTTTTACTTCAGGAAAATTTTTACAAATACCTAAACTGATTCTCTGACAAATTTTGGTAATATGCAGAGCCAAATAACCCTTTAGGGCCCGAACCCGATTATCCTTTTGTTTAGTAGCTTTTATAAAGCAATGATTTTAATTTTTTAGATGATTCTAACTTCTAAATAATTTCATAACCTGAAATGATATCAAGGAGAAGAATCTCTTACTTTGTGCCATTGTGTTTCAAGTAGGTACCATGTTTGATTTTAGTTCAGAATGTTTAAATCTTAGAAATGTTTATAAAGCAGGGATTTTAGTTTTCAAGATGTTAGAACTTTTAAATAGTTTCATAAACTGAAATGATTTCAATATGATTTATCATTTATTTTCATTGTTGTATTGTTATAATGCTGGTTAAAAATTTTGGCCTGCAATAAATATGAAAATTGGTATTTCTTGAATATTTTTATTGGAAAACAAGAGATAAATTGTCTTTCTAATTAATTTTCTTAGTTTATTTCAAGTTGTGTGTTGGTGAAATATATATATATATATATATATATATGCAAGGTGAGTGGGGACGAGTTAGTGGAAGGAGGTGTCATAATTTCATCATCCGAGGTACCCCAAAAGTTCATAATCCGGCCCTGGTGACAGCCTTTTCTGTATCAATCCACCAGCTGAAATGGTTTTAAACCCATGTTATCCTTATTGTGTGCAAGCTTGTGGGGGTGGAGGGTGCTCCAAAAGTAATGCCTCTATTGGAGAGGGCAGATTTACGGCTCTGAAAATATTGTCCCCGTAGTTTATATTTCATTCGTCTGAGCATGGTTTGTCACAATTTTTATTGCTACATTGCCCACCACCTTTTCTTGCATTCACAGGTTTGTTGCCATGAATAGGTTCATTTTTTTTTTTTTTTTTTTTTTTTCTGCATGGATGTATTCAATAATACATGTCTGGACACAATTTCATGTCAGACATTATTTTACCAGTCTTCCACTCCAATTGGTTATTTGTAGTGCTCAGCTAGAATCTGTAATAACACAAATATCTGCCTTTGGAATCATTGGCAAACATAAAATAAGGTATTATTTTTGGAGCAAATACTCACCCCGCACCTACCTAGCTGAGTAGACAGGATGTTGAAAAATTATTGGTTTAATTATCTGAAGGTTCAACCTCCTACTGCCTTATGATCAACACCTTTGGGCCCACAAAGGGAGCATTACTTTCAGAGCAACCTTTGTGTTTCACTCATGTTGAAGTATTTTTTTTTTTTTTTGTGTGTGTGTGTGTGTGTTTTTTGCTCATTCTTTTTTCTTCTGAAAACAGCAATGTGAATTGCAAATCCAGCAACTGATGCAACGTCTCGAGTCAACAAAGAAACAAATGAGGCGCATGACCACGGATAATTCTAAACTGGTTTGTGAAAACACCTGCCTGCAATTCCAGGTGTCTGACATGTTGCAAGTTCCTGTTTCCCAGACAGCCAATCAGGTGAGACTTTCCATAATCTCTTGGAAAACTGGGAGGTGTTAGATTGCTGTTTAATATGTTGCTGAAATGTCCAGATGGGGTGGGGGGAGATTACATATGCTTAAAGGAGTGTTCAACTTTTCAGGAGTGGGGGTTGTGGGTTATTTTTTATTTTTTATTTTTTTTTTTTTTTAAGATCTTACGCCAATGCTTTCAGGCCTCAATAAATTGACACTTCCATTCTCAGAAACCTGCACGATTCCCCCACTGGCCAGAATTATACACCTGTCTATCAAGTTAATATATGCCATTTGTTGTGAGGCGCACGAGCCTGGGTTGGTTTCATCACATGATGCCTACCAACATTTTAAAAATAAAAACAATGATCTGGAAGGTCAGAAGCGAGAAATTCAAATAAATATGCCAAAATTTATTCTTGGCAAATACAAAAATACAATTCCAAGAAAGAAAATGCAAAAAGTAGATATTGAAAAAAGTTCTTGAGAAAACAGTATGCAATGCAATAGGTCCTGATCTGGCATCCCATCTTAAGTCACTTTCTCACAGACGTGCTGTGGCTTCCGTTTGTCTTTTCTACAAGTATTTTCATGGCAACCGATGAGCTACTTTCACTGGTTCCCAAATTGCATGAATTTTAGCACATCTTGGCATCTCGCTCTCATCCTTTCACTGTCGAAACGACTAAATGTAGCCATCTCTTCCACTCCAACAGCTTCTTATCTCACACCTCCTGTTAGTGGAACTTACTTCCTAAAATTAAATACTCTGAAAATATGTGTACGACTTCCAAGACGAATATAAGGCAACACCCAGGCTCAAATAAGCTTGGACAGTCACCTAATTGGCTTGACTGATATTGACATGGATTTGTATGTCAAGTCATTACACTATGTTAGCTATCTAATTCAGCCTTTTATATGATGTAACCTTAGTACTTAGCTGTTACAAGTATTTCAAAGACTATAAACCTTCCTGGAGCCAAGCCACAAGCTTTTTTTTTTTTTTTTTTTTTTTCAGCAATTTAGTGGAGAAACCTATCTTTTTAAAGAAAGCCACATCAATAATAGAAAGTTAGAACAGTGGACTTATCAAGCCTATTTTCGTGAAGAAAAATCAAAATTTTAAAGATTTCATGGACATCTGCTGCCAGTCATGTTGACTTTTGATCATTGAATGATGGGCATTTCCCATATGCAAACTGGTATTCTCACCATTATTGGTGTACTGGGAAAAATCACTTTGATATAGATTTTAAGAAATCTAAAACTGCAAAAGCAAAAATTGGTTTGTGTTTATATGAAGCCCTTTTCTTTTTTTTCAGGGTGAGGTTCTCTCTGACAATCTGGAGCAAGCCAATGTTCTGAGCAAACTGACCACCATGCTCAAATCAACACAAGAAAAACTCAAAGAAAAAGTAAGATTGGGATTATTTTAAATTTTTTTGTGCTTCTCTCGTTTTCTATTTGCACACAAATGCAAATACATACACATTGCACACCTGACGCATCTTACGTGAAGTATAAACAGTCAGAAGGACAACAGTAAAGATGAACTTCTACAAAGGTGACTACGTTAAATGTTCAAATAATATTAAGAGAACAAGGCGGAGAGAAAATGGTTAGAAAGGCATGTACTGGCGATGCTCCCTTAGGGTGTAGCTTTAGGAAGATGAAATAAGAAATGCATTCTTTGAGCCTGTGCTTTATGGTGCCAATTCTGGGAATTACTATAGGTTAAACAGGTGGTTGTAAAAAAAAAAAAAAAAAAATATGGTGATTAAACTAAAAAGCACCTAAATTAAAAATAGACAAACAAAAGAAAAATAAAACCATATAGGTGTTGTACTGTAATAACAGAACTGTATTCTATAAAAAAATTTTTTTATTTTTTTTTTGCCAGCAAAATGAAGTTTGTGACCTTGAGGAGCAACTGCAGGAAGCAGGTGAAACCTTCCACCAAAACCATGAAGAAATTGAGGAATTGAAGAAAATGGTGGAGCAACTCAAAGAAACAAACAAGGTGAGGATTTTTGACACATACATATATAATAGTGAGAAAATCTTTAAAAATCCATCTTGGTTAGAATTTATTTAATAAATAAATATATATATATATATATATATATATATATATATATATATATATATATATATATATATATATATAAAAATAAATAATCTTTTCAGACCGAGATGAAAATATAACTATATTCATGAAATAAATGATGGATTTTAAGGATTTTACTAACTTATTATATTTCTTCTGTAACTTACATTGAGCTCTCATTGGATTAATGTCCCCCTTGGAATTATCCCTACCAATTATTACTACTACACACACAAGATAATGGTTAAAAGATTTAACATAGGAAGAAAATTTAATTCCTTTAAATAATATAGAAATAACAAGCATTCTTTGCCTGATGAAAGTTGCAAGACCATGTGCACATGTATCTAGATATACAGAATAAAGTATATAAACATTATTAATAGAATTAGGCTTTTACATGTATAATGTAAAATGATTTGTGGATTGGAGGGCCACAAGTACAATGAAAAGGGCCCACAGTACTACAAACCTGATGGCCTCTATTTTAGTTATAATAAACTCAAATTATGTAATTATTTTTTTTTTTTTTTTTTTTTTTTTTTGTCATAATAAAAGTTAGTTTCATTTAACAGTTTTTGTTTTTAAAACCAGCAGTTTTGAGGTTTATGTGGAGAAATATCGCCATTTTCCAGAAATTGTAAAATGGGCTTCTTGTTAAAGTAACTTGCAAGGAGGGGGGGCATCAAAAAAGGATCATCAGTTAAGTGGGGGGTTCATGAATAAAAAGCATTCTAGAGCAATAATTATTGACAAAGAAAATCGAGTAGAAAACTGATAATAAAATAGATATTCTGTAATTAATGCAATCATTCTTATCCGGTCCTGATGAGTGAGAAATCACAAAGCCTAGTGTTGGCCATAAGTATTTCAATGATGTGTGTATTTATATTAAATATCCACGTTTTGGCAAAGTGACTGCTAGGGGCATGACCCAATAAAAAGGGCAAGATTTCCGGTTGCTCCTGTATCCTTTGTCAGTGTTTACACACTCCCCTAAATTTTTTTTTTTGCTCCCCTCATTGATTTTCTTTCGGTTAGCTGAAACGGATCCTCATAATTATTGATCTTGGTCGGGCATAAGTGTTGATAACTTAGGATAATGAATTGGCCCACAAGATATGCTCGCCAACCTCTATATTATGTTATCAATTTTATTTTATTTATTTAGTTTTTTTTTTTTTTTTTTTTTTTTTTTCCAGAAACCAGCTGAATGTGAAGTTTGTCAAGCTCGCAGTGAGAATACCTGGCAGCTGAAACCTGAGCTGAAAAACCAAGCAGGTACGGCAAATGGTGTACGTTCTCTCCGGTCACATCGTGACTCCTTGCATCGTGGCCAGGCAGCCAATACTGCTGTCACTCGAAAAGAGAAGGATGGTGGCACTAAACAGCGGTCACCCTGGTTCAGCTGTATGGGGATTGGTGCAGGCAAAAAGCGCAAGTCTAATGTCCCAGACCTCCTTCGGGGTACGAAAAATGCAGTCTCTCAGTATCGGCTTCGGGATATGGTCGTCGAGAAAGCTGATGAGTCACGGGTTTTGCGTGTAATGTTAAACAACACACGGGGTCTCGTGCCCACGCCGACCAAGACGAGTTTGCTCCGCTCGAAAAAGTTCCCCTCCTCCAAAGACCTCAACTCTGAGAATGCATCCTCGTCGCCTGTGATGAGTCTTCAGGCTGATGTCTCCCGGCTTGGGAAAGGGGGTAAGAAGAAAGATGCTTCGCCAGGAGTGAAACGGCGGATGCTGGCTCCAATCTGCACAAATCTGATTGGAGATAAAAAATTAAAGGGCAGGCGGAGATCAAGTCTCGTATGCAGCAAACGTAATTCTGTATCATTCAGTAAAAGATATAATCTACGAAGCAAAAATTAATGTAGGATATTCATACCTTCTGAGGCGAGGGAAGACTGTATAATCTTTTTATGTACATACATTTTTTTTTTTTTTTTTTTTATCATTTTTATTTTTTAAACTCCAGTCCTTGTTTTCATTTTGTTACTAAATTTTGCATATCTATTCTCATTAATTTTATTGTAAATGTGATTATTTTTCGGCAGATGCAAGTGGGAGGGTAAATTGTCCAAACATATCAAATCTTTATTGGCTTTGGTTAGAGTTGTCTGTCAGAATCACCCTGTAAGGTGTGCATTTTTTTTTTTTTTTTCTCTCCTCTCCCCCTTCCCTTCATTCTATCTCTTTCTCTCTCTTGCATTTTCGCCCTCTCTCTCTCTCCTTTTCCACTACATGAAATAAATAAAACCCAAATTTTGTTCAAAAACATTCCCCGCCTCCAAAGATGTCAACACTGAGAATGCATCTTCTTTGCCAGTGATGAGCCTTCGGGCTAGTGGCCTCAGGCTTGGGAAAGGAGGCAAGGAGATGCTTCACCAGGAGTGAAGCAGCAGATGCAGGATCCAATCTGCCAAATCTGATTTGGGGGGGGTTAAAAATCTTCTCTCCTGCATTCTGGCCCTCTCTCTCTCTTTCTATTGTCCCCTACATAAAATAAATAAAACCCAAATTGAATTTTTCTAAGAAATTTACCTATCTTTTTTTTTTTTTTTTTTTTTTTTCCTTCTCTTTCTTTCCACTTTAAAATCATTTCCATTCTTTATGCTGTTGGATGTGTACTTTTAGGTGTGCATGCACTTTTATCCTGTCATTAAATTTAGGGCTGGAATTGTTTGAGATTTTCTGTAAAAATCTCTATTGCCGATCTCTCTCTCTCTCTCTCACACACACATAATTTTTTTTTTTTTTTCTTCCCGCCCTCTACACGTGATCGCCCCCCATTTCCTCGCCATATTTTGAATTTGAATCTGAACAAAGATACAATTGCAAAAGGATAAATTGGGGCAGTCATTATAGTTATAATAAAATCTAATTCACTGATAATTGTCTTTCGTTTTTGTCTTTTGTTGTTCTTGGGTTTGTTTTTTTTTTATTTTGTCCCTAACTGCTTCTCCTTCGTTCCAACCTGAATTCAAAAAAATACTAACCTCTTGTGTTTGTTTTTTTTGGTTTTCAGGTTTTGAAGAAGGTATAGCAGGCTGTGGACTGGCAAGATGTTTTTTTTCTTTTTCTATTTCTTCATCTCTTGAAAGAACACACAGAAATGGATTTCTTCTGGAACACTCACCTCTCTCCAACTTTTTTTTTTTTTTTCTTTTTAAACAAAACGAAACTTAAATCTCAGATTTGTTTGTCGTGGTAGATTAAATTTAAAGCAGTTTAATAAATTGAACCCCTATCTCTTAATAACATCAATAGCAAAAGTTGAAATAAATCATACTATCTTGAGAATCAAAAATTCCCCCAGCCATGATGACTACAAATCAAAATCCCAAACACAATGGTGATATGCTTTTTTATATATAAGGTGATCTACATGGTTACATTAAAGATATTTTGAGTAAGTGTTTATAATTTTTAGTGGCCAGTTAAATCCTGGCATCCAGTATACAAATCTAAATAGCCCAATTCAGCAGGAGTGAGCAAGAAACAGTATCACAGTGTCAAAACATATCAACATATACGGTATATCAGCTAAAAATATGACACCTGAAGATGACCAGAGGGTACTTGGTTGAAATATTGTCAATACCAACCAATGATTGTAATAATTGAATAAATCAAAATATAGACAATGAATTCTATTTTGTTATAAAGTTGAGAACCAGGGTAGCAGTTAAACGACAAAATTATCACATTTCCATTGAGTGATATTTAAAACCTTCATCTCGTGGACCATTAATGCTGACAAGTTAAATTTTCTCTTGAGTACATTATCATCATTGCCATTGTCGCCACCTGCATTCTTCAGGCATATGTCAGTCTGCATGACCTTCAGGATACTTCAAACACAACCCTTTATTTAATCTATGGAAATAGATTGTTCTTGTTTGTAGTCTGAACAAAGGTTTTAATTCAAAATTCCCTAAAGATTAACTGGATCAACAGAACTGAAGAAGGCCGAAGAGTGCAGTGGCTGTAACATGATGGTAAAAACAAAAATGAGGATGTTTGACAAACTTGTCATTCCACCTCTACATTTGTCTTAGTTGCACTGAAAGGGACATGCTAAATATAGCAACACCTCACTTAGCAACTTGCCTGTTTGACAATTCCCACTTTCTCCTCAGATTTACAACTAGCTATAAAATCTCATTTCATTCATTTATATTCAATTAGCGCACTTGGCGCCACCACTGTGGTCACCACTCCACTCCCTCTCGCAATTGTGGTTCATGCTGACATTCAAGGCAGAATAGTGCAGTGGCTTGCTAGTTCTTTTTCTACTGGGGATGTTGAGGTCACCCTGTTCCTCGTCTCGAAGCTTGATTTGTTTCTGAAGTTAACCCCCTCCTAGCTTTTTGTCTAAAGATGCTGGACCTACAAGACATCAGGTAATTTGAATTCACTGATGTTCGTCACCTTGACTGGTTGCCATTCAAAGCTATAGGACTGTTTTACCCATAGCTGAGTGGAGAAGAGATGGGTTCATACCTTCCCAAGGATTTTTTTTTTTTTTTTTTTTAAATGTCCTGTGACTTGTAAGGTCAGCATGTGAAACTGCAGCCGCAGAAGTGGTGTTTCTTGGGCCAACCCTCTCCAGACTGGTTTTGAATTCAGTTTTTCCTTCTAGACCAGTTGACACACAAGGCTAGCAGAACCCAGTCTATTCTGCTATCTATCCAAAGTTGGATGTTTTTTTGATTTCAGTTTCCTTCTAGACTGGTTACTACCCATAGTTATAGATCCCAATCTGTCCTGCTATTTACTCATAGCTGGGGGGGAGAGGAGGATTCATACCCCTTTCCCAAGGGTATTATCACATAAATGAATAATGAACTCTACTTAATAAAAATCCTAAGAGTCATTTGGTACTGTACATTAACATTCCCAGCCCTACCTCCCCATTTTTGATTGGCCATTCTAAAATAAAATGAATATTTAGTGAAAAATAAATAAAAAAAAAAAAAAAATACTTACTCTGTATTTAAAGTGTGCAAACCAAATGTACAGAATCTCCAGCCGATTTTAGAAGTGTATTGTGTTAAACATCCAGTACACTACTGCATAATCGTTTAGAAATGTTACAAATAGTGCAAAAGTGACATCAAGGCTATTTGAAGCTGGTTAACACAAACACCATCAGATGTTTAGTAGGACTAAAACAGTGGACAGGTACAAATTCTCACTTAGCGATCAGGTCGTTAAGAGAGTAATCCCGTCGTTACGTGAGGAGTGACTTAATAACAATGGTGGCTACTGTTGGCTCATAGACATTTAAAGGGGGCAACTATTTAAACATTCAAACTTTTTTTTTTTTTTATAAAGGCAAAGGCATTCTTCATTTCTCTCTAGAATCTTTCAGTGGTTAGGGGATTGTAAGATTGTCAAAATTTTCTAATTTAAATTAATTTTTAGATTTTTAAACATTCATACCTATCAATCCCACAAATGATTTGACTGCAAATATTTTTAACTTTTAACCAGAATGACCATTTCAGTGTTCTTTCAATGGAATTTATGGACACTCTGAAAGTAAAGACTCGTATTTATTTATAGAGATAGACTAGTATGGTTGCTTCAGTTTGCTGTGTGGTGGTGTTGGGTTTTTTTATTTTTGTTTTGTTTGTTTGTTTGTTTTTGTTTTTTTGTGGCTTAACCTTTTGCAGATTTAAAACCAGAAAATATTTTTAGATTGTAAAATTTTTAAAATTTATTTTTTGATGATTTACTGATACAAGTCCTAATTAACCCATAGTTGGGGGAGAATTGGATTCATACCCTTTCCAAGGATATTTATGCATAAGTGACTATAAGAAACCCAACTGGAATTTGAGCTCAGCTCTCTGATTTCTAATTGTTATTAATTACGTCATCTGCACATCCAAGTTCATAGCACCTGGTATTTCCAAGTGGTCATCCGTCTAGGTACTGACCAGGCTTGATGATGCTTAACTTTGGTGATTATATGAGAACCAGAATTTAAAAATATGCCTGTAATGTAGTTGAACAGAGTAAACTTCCAGCATTTTTGCCAATCTACCTTTTTTGGTGGATTCAATGTTTGCATGGAGCCATGCAAAAATGTGTCTTGAATAAAATTTCATGTCTGACATTATTTTAACAGACTGGGTTACTTGTGTAAAGGTTCAACCTCAAATTGTGATTTCTTATCAACCTGTGTTCAGGAAATTTCAACTGTTGCAATTTAATAAAGGAAATATAATATGAAGTTTATATAAAACCTTTTAATAGAACTAGTTAGAATGAATTTTAAAAAATATTTTTTTGAACAAACATGAAAAAATAAAAATGTCAGTTTTTTAAATTTTTTATCAAATATAAATTTCTATTTTAGATGCAATACCAAAATTTTGAAAGAACAAAATATTTGACAAGCCAGTTGGTATCCATAGGGCAGTTTTTATAACTGTGTTAATATATATACAAAAATTGAAATCACAATTTTATGAGGCTTACAATTCAAGAAAAATGGTCAATTTGAACCAAAAAAAAAATCTGAATTTGAAAACCTATCATTAAACTGGAATGAATTGAAATAGATACATTTAAATTTTTTTTTTTCCATTTCATTTCAGTTTTTGTTTTAATACTCAAACAAAAAATCATCTCAATTAAACTTTTTTCCAAATTGTACATGATTTATTTCCTTTATTTTATTATGAATGATTTATATATAATTAAAAAAAAAAAAATCAATTTTTGCATTTAAATAAAAATATATTAAAAAACTTGACTGGGAAAAATTAACAAAAAAATAAGGTTATATTAAAAATTTATAAAATCATTTAAAAAACAGTTTCAAAAATAAATCTTATTCAATTTTTTAATTTTATAAT